TGTGAGGAGATTGTCCAGCATTCACTGCCATATAGGAGGACTGATATTACGTAACAGTTCAGTACTCTTTTCTTTTGTTTCTGTTGTTTCAAGTCTCTTCTTCATCTGTGAGGAGATTGTCCAGCATTCACTGCCATATAGGAGGACTGATATTACGTAACAGTTCAGTACACTTTTCTTTGTTTCTGTTGTTTCAAGTCTCTTCTTCATCTGTGAGGAGATTGTCCAGCATTCACTGCCATATAGGAGGACTGATATTACGTAACAGTTCAGTACTCTTTTCTTTGTTTCTGTTGTTTCAAGTCTCTTCTTCATCTGTGAGGAGATTGTCCAGCATTCACTGCCATATAGGAGGACTGATATTACGTAACAGTTCAGTACTCTTTTCTTTGTTTCTGTTGTTTCAAGTCTCTTCTTCATCTGTGAGGAGATTGTCCAGCATTCACTGCCATATAGGAGGACTGATATTACGTAACAGTTCAGTACTCTTTTCTTTGTTTCTGTTGTTTCAAGTCTCTTCTTCATCTGTGAGGAGATTGTCCAGCATTCACTGCCATATAGGAGGACTGATATTACGTAACAGTTCAGTACACTTTTCTTTGTTTCTCTTGTTTCAAGTCTCTTCTTCATCTGTGAGGAGATTGTCCAGCATTCACTGCCATATAGGAGGACTGATATTACGTAACAGTTCAGTACTCTTTTCTTTGTTTCTGTTGTTTCATGTCTCTTCTTCATCTGTGAGGAGATTGTCCAGCATTCACTGCCATATAGGAGGACTGATATTACGTAACAGTTCAGTACTCTTTTCTTTGTTTCTGTTGTTTCAAGTCTCTTCTTCATCTGTGAGGAGATTGTCCAGCATTCACTGCCATATAGGAGGACTGATATTACATAACAGTTCAGTACTCTTTCCTTTGTTTCTGCTGTTTCAAGTCACTTCTTCATCTGTCAGGAGATTGTCCAGCATTCACTGCCATATAGGAGGACTGATATTACGTAACAGTTCAGTACTCTTTTCTTTGTTTCTGTTGTTTCAAGTCTCTTCTTCATCTGTGAGGAGATTGTCCAGCATTCACTGCCATATAGGAGGACTGATATTACGTAACAGTTCAGTACTCTTTTCTTTGTTTCTCTTGTTTCAAGTCTCTTCTTCATCTGTGAGGAGATTGTCCAGCATTCACTGCCATATAGGAGGACTGATATTACGTAACAGTTCAGTACTCTTTTCTTTGTTTCTGTTGTTTCAAGTCTCTTCTTCATCTGTGAGGAGATTGTCCAGCATTCACTGCCATATAGGAAGACTGATATTACGTAACAGTTCAGTACTCTTTTTCTTTGTTTCTGTTGTTTCATGTCTCTTCTTCATCTGTGAGGAGATTGTCCAGCATTCACTGCCATATAGGAGGACTGATATTACGTAACAGTTCAGTACTCTTTTCTTTGTTTCTATTGTTTCAAGTCTCTTCTTCATCTGTGAGGAGATTGTCCAGCATTCACTGCCATATAGGAGGACTGATATTACGTAACAGTTCAGTACTCTTTTCTTTGTTTCTGTTGTTTCAAGTCTCTTCTTCATCTGTGAGGAGATTGTCCAGCATTCACTGCCATATAGGAGGACTGATATTACGTAACAGTTCAGTACTCTTTTCTTTGTTTCTCTTGTTTCAAGTCTCTTCTTCATCTGTGAGGAGATTGTCCAGCATTCACTGCCATATAGGAGGACTGATATTACGTAACAGTTCAGTACTCTTTTCTTTGTTTCTATTGTTTCAAGTCTCTTCTTCATCTGTGAGGAGATTGTCCAGCATTCACTGCCATATAGGAGGACTGATATTACGTAACAGTTCAGTACACTTTTCTTTGTTTCTGTTGTTTCAAGTCTCTTCTTCATCTGTGAGGAGATTGTCCAGCATTCACTGCCATATAGGAGGACTGATATTACGTAACAGTTCAGTACTCTTTTCTTTGTTTCTCTTGTTTCAAGTCTCTTCTTCATCTGTGAGGAGATTGTCCAGCATTCACTGCCATATAGGAGGACTGATATTACGTAACAGTTCAGTACACTTTTCTTTGTTTCTGTTGTTTCAAGTCTCTTCTTCATCTGTGAGGAGATTGTCCAGCATTCACTGCCATATAGGAGGACTGATATTACGTAACAGTTCAGTACTCTTTTTCTTTGTTTCTGTTGTTTCAAGTCTCTTCTTCATCTGTGAGGAGATTGTCCAGCATTCACTGCCATATAGGAGGACTGATATTACGTAACAGTTCAGTACTCTTTTCTTTGTTTCTGTTGTTTCATGTCTCTTCTTCATCTGTGAGGAGATTGTCCAGCATTCACTGCCATATAGGAGGACTGATATTACGTAACAGTTCAGTACACTTTTCTTTGTTTCTGTTGTTTCAAGTCTCTTCTTCTTCATCTGTGAGGAGATTGTCTAGTATTCACTGCCATATAGAAGGACTGATATTACGTAACAGTTCAGTACACTTTTCTTTGTTTCTGTTGTTTCAAGTCTCTTCTTCATCTGTGAGGAGATTGTCCAGCATTCACTGCCATATAGGAGGACTGATATTACGTAACAGTTCAGTACTCTTTTCTTTGTTTCTGTTGTTTCAAGTCTCTTCTTCATCTGTGAGGAGATTGTCCAGCATTCACTGCCATATAGGAGGACTGATATTACGTAACAGTTCAGTACTCTTTTCTTTGTTTCTGTTGTTTCATGTCTCTTCTTCATCTGTGAGGAGATTGTCCAGCATTCACTGCCATATAGGAGGACTGATATTACGTAACAGTTCAGTACACTTTTCTTTGTTTCTGTTGTTTCATGTCTCTTCTTCATCTGTGAGGAGATTGTCCAGTATTCACTGCCATATAGGAGGACTGATATTACGTAACAGTTCAGTACACTTTTCTTTGTTTCTGTTGTTTCATGTCTCTTCTTCATCTGTGAGGAGATTGTCCAGCATTCACTGCCATATAGGAGGACTGATATTACGTAACAGTTCAGTACTCTTTTCTTTGTTTCTGTTGTTTCAAGTCTCTTCTTCATCTGTGAGGAGATTGTCCAGCATTCACTGCCATATAGGAGGACTGATATTACGTAATAGTTCAGTACATTTTCCTTTGTTTCCCTTGTTTCAAGTCTCTTCTTCATCTGTGAGGAGATTGTCCAGCATTCACTGCCATATAGGAGGACTGATATTACGTAACAGTTCAGTACTCTTTCCTTTGTTTCCCTTGTTTCAAGTCTCTTCTTCATCTGTGAGGAGATTGTCCAGCATTCACTGCCATATAGGAGGACTGATATTACGTAACAGTTCAGAACTCTTTTCTTTGCTTCTCTTGTTTCAAGTCTCTTCTTCATCTGTGAGGAGATTGTCCAGCATTCACTGCCATATAGGAGGACTGATATTACGTAACAGTTCAGTACACTTTTCTTTGTTTCTGTTGTTTCATGTCTCTTCTCCATCTGTGAGGAGATTGTCCAGCATTCACTGCCATATAGGAGGACTGATATTACGTAACAGTTCAGTACTCTTTTCTTTTGTTTCTCTTGTTTCAAGTCTCTTCTTCATCTGTGAGGAGATTGTCCAGCATTCACTGCCATATAGGAGGACTGATATTACGTAACAGTTCAGTACTCTTTTCTTTGTTTCTCTTGTTTCAAGTCTCTTCTTCATCTGTGAGGAGATTGTCCAGCATTCACTGCCACATAGGAGGACTGATATTACGTAACAGTTCAGTACTCTTTTCTTTGTTTCTCTTGTTTCAAGTCTCTTCTTCATTTGTGAGGAGATTGTCCAGCATTCACTGCCATATAGGAGGACTGATATTACGTAACAGTTCAGTACACTTTTCTTTGTTTCTGTTGTTTCATGTCTCTTCTTCATCTATTAGGAGAACATTTTTTTTCTGTTTCTTAATACTTTGCTTATTTTCACTTCCTCAGTGTTCTTTCGGATTTCGGCACTTTACGTCACCGTTGACACATTCCCAGATATCTAAATTCTTCTACTAGTTTGATTTTGGTATTTCCAATTCGTAGTTCGAAATGTGGCCTGTCTATTTTGATGACAACTATTCATTCGGTCTTCTCACTTTCCTTTACGGGCACCTTCCTGCAGTTTCATTTCTGATTCTACTATTCACGCTGTCATATTTTATGTAGTTAAGAATATACCCCCCTATAATCGGTGCTGGTAGGACTTGGTTTTTTTCAGAATCGTCAGAATGTAAAGTTTGAACAAGTCCAAAGAAAAGTCATCACTTTCTTTTTTTAAATTATTCATAGAAACGATGGTTAATTGTCCACGGCTGATGATTGTCTATTTCATTTAAATTCAATTATTAAGTCATGCGGCTATGCAGGAATGATAACGATTAACCCTAGACATGAAGAGGTCAAGATTGTAGTGAATGGGAAAACATCCTCCTGGGAGTCTGTTCCACAAAGCATCCGTTCTTGGGAAGAAGCTGTCTGAATGGAACTTACGTCTTACTATAGGAATGCGAAGGCAATGTGGATAATTCCCGCTTGTGTACATGGCATGGCAGGTCACAGTAGTAAATGTCAGGGCTGGTGAAGTTCATGGGGTTATGCAGGAATGATAACGGTTATCCTTATACTTGAAGAGGTGAAGATTATAAAATATTTAATGAATATTATAAAATTATAAGGAAAATTAATGGTTCGAGGCATGGGGGAATGTAAACTCAATAACCAAAACAAAATCAAAATATATAGGAATTGTTTTTGTTCACGTAGCGTCCAGTACTATATAGTCATAATTAAATGACCTATGATTAACTGACTAATCACGTGACGAAGAAATAAAACGTAAACAAATGCCAATCGTTTTTAACGTAAAAAAAAAAGAAAACGAAGAGGAGTAGAAAGAATATCCGACTATTATCCGTTCGACCTCACTTTTATTTGCCGATGCATTTTCTAAAATAAAAATCTCTCTCTGCGTACCTTGTTCCCTGAAAATCACCCAAAATGCCGCCATTCAAACAAATCGCTCGGAGGACAACGAGGCATCAGATTCATGAGTCAGGAGAAATCATTCCAGAAGCCATGTTAAACGACGAGTTCTCCCGTATGTTAATTTTGAGTAACGATTACGATGGGAGGCGTCTCATTCGTTTCAATTTCAGCTCGCACGAGTACAAACCAATAACAACGTTCGACCCCGCAACAGTATTAATCGAGGGTAGTATCGACTACAAACAGGGCGAGGAGCCGTCTTTAGTCGCAGTCTTTTCAGAAGATGTAACACTATATGATGATGAAACTAACGAGAAAGCAGAAGAAGTCCCAAAACTTGTAAGAAACCAATTTAATTACAGTGACAAAGGTTTACAAACCCTCGACCCTCGACCCCGGGACAGGATTATGGAGACAGAGCCGCCAGCCACTGCTTCGTTTTCTGCTAACAGTAGTCCCGGGACTATCTATGATGCGTACATTAACCAAAATAAGAAGCCAGTTTATGGAATTGAAACTTATCCAACGACTCTAAACCCGAATGTTAACAGGTTGGCTTCAGTTGCAGAAAGAATGGTAATTCAGAATTTATACGACCATCTTCTTCAAGATTTCAAATATTATGAAGACCCAGCAGACGATGTACGAGGTCACATTGGTTGTTTATTGCCTCTGTGGAAGTTTACATCAGAACTAACTAAATATTTATCCGTGACTAATTTATGTTGGAATCCACAATATTCGGACTTATTTGCTGTCACCTTTGGTTCGTTTACTTTCTCCAAGGAAGGCGAAGGGGCAATTTTGTTGTATTCCCTGAAAAACCCTTCATATCCAACTTATTGCTTCCCGACAGATTGCGCAGTGATGAGTGTAGATATTCATCGGAAGTTTCCTAATTACGTATGTGCTGGCTTTTGCGATGGTGGTGTGGCTTTGTACAATCTGTGTCACAATACAAGAGGTCCAGAAAAACGATCAGAAAGAGGAGTGCACAACATGCACATCGCGCAGATGCAGTGGGACCACAACCTCACAGATAACTTGCTCAGCTTCTATTCCATCTCACCTGACGGGGTAATCGTAAAGTGGACATCGGTGAAGAACGGTTTAAAACATCACGTTCTGGTCACGTTAGACATTTCTGACTTTATCGAAACATCGATAACGGAAATGAAGGCGGGAATCTTTGGAAGCGGCATCACTTTCGATTTTCATGCCACCCAGAAGCATCTCTACCTGGTTGGAACCGAAATGGGCCACGCGCATATTTGCTCGAGGACCCACTCGGCAGAAGCGTTGCAAACCTTCGACGCCCATCATTCTTCTATCTACAAAATCGCCTGGAATAGGTTCCACCCGAAAGTCTTCATTACGTGCAGTGAGGACTGGACGGTGAAAATCTGGGAGAACGTGGGAATCATTTGTAAGCCTCTGCTAGTGTTTGAACTTGGCAGCCAGGTGTATGATGTTGAGTGGGCACCGTTTTCATCGACCGTCTTCGCTGCCGTTACGGCCAACGGTGAAGTTATACTCTATGACATTGCCGTCGACAAAAACGAACCTTTGTGCGTGCAGGTGGTCGTTTTTTTGAAGAACACTCGGATCATGCATTTGGCATTTAATCAAGTGTACCCTATTCTATTGGTAGGGGATGATAGAGGAGAGGTCACGTGCTTAAAACTTTCCCCAAATTTAAGGAAGGGGCCAAAGGATAAAAAACTGCATGTTCCTACGGACAAAAAAGACAAAGATACCTTAGAAATAACTCGGCTTGATGATATTCTTGCTACTGTTCGCGAAAAGAGTGGTTAATTCCATGAAATTTGGCTTCTCTGTGCATTTTGATGTTCCTGCATTTTGCCATGTTTGAAAAACTTATAAAAGATATACTGATAATTTGTGTCTGATCTTAGGCGATGGGGAGATATGATTTGCAGTCAGATTATTGTCGTGACCTTTGTTGTTACTATCATAATATTTAGGTTTTCTGGGATGAGGAATTATCATTATTTTCATCATTTACAGTAAGACTAATATCCTCATCTTTGTTGTTATTATCACAATATTTCGGCTTTCTGGGATGAGGAAATATCATTATTTCCATTATTTACAGTCAGACTAATATCCTCATCTATTTTGTTATTATCACAACGTTTTGGCTTTCTGGGATGAGGAATTATCATTATTTCCATTATTTACAGTAGGTATAATATCCTCATCTTTGTTGTTATTATCTCAATATTTCGGCTTTCTGGGATGAGGAATTATCATTATTTCTATTATTTACAGTCAAACTAATATCCTCATCTTTGTTGTAATTATCACAATATTTCGGCTTTCTGGGATGAGAAATTATCATTATTTCCATTATTTCCAGTCAAACTAATATCCTCATCTTTGTTGTAATTATCACAATATTTAGGCTTTCTGGGATGAGGAATTATCATTATTTCCATTATTTACAGTCAGACTAATATCCTCATCTTTGTTGTAATTATCACAATATTTAGGCTTTCTGGGATGAGGAATTATCATTATTTCCATTATTTACAGTAAGTATAATATCCTCATCTTTGTTATTATTATCACAACATTTTGCCTTTCTGAGATGCGGAATTAATCATTATTTCCATTATTTATAGTCAGATTAATATCCTCATCTTTGTTGTTATCACAACGTTTCGGCATTCTGGGATGAGGAATTATCATTATTTACAGTCAGACTTAAATCCTCATCTTTGTTGTTACTATCCCAATATTTTGGCTTTCTGTGGCGTGGAATTATTATTATTTACATTATTTCAGTCAGATTATTATCCTCAGTTTAGTTGTTATCCTCTCGGTTCGGCCATCTTCAAGTGTCAAGCCAGTGAACACTTTATTCAGGCTACGAGGTTGATTTTTCTCATTCCGCTCTTTACGGATATCTCGGCTTCTTGTTCGTGCTGCTCAGTTATTGCTCGCCCTGTTTCCACTGATTCTAAATCTGCGTAACCCGGCTTAAGGGCTGAAGTCACATTTAATATGCTACCAAATTCACATACCAAAAAGAGAAGGAGGTTGAGCGCGGCAACAGTAGCGCAATGTTAGCAGCAATCAGGCTGGAGGAACATTATGACTACATGTTCAACGTTCAGGATTGTCACATAGGACAATAGCCGATAAGATTAAAGAATCTGTTTGTGATTTTGGTGGCATAGTATTTGTGAGTTCAATCCGTGGTCCGGGGAGTACAGACTTAAAAATCAATTGAACGACTGAGAAGTAATAAAAAAATATCCGAAGACATGGACAACGGAGTTCAAATAAAGGTTGCCTGGAGGACACAACGGCCAAAATGTTGTGGCATCCATCGGTCTCGAAAAACCATGGATTCGCGCCCAAAGAGTTATGCCTCAGCTGCTGATGGCGACGTAGCATCTGTTATGGCTGTACAGGCCCACATGGGAGTGACAGTCTCGATGGCAACGAATGCATGTGAAGACACTCTCCCTCGATGTTGCAGTGTTGTTTTCTTTCCGTCGAGCACGCACCACCCGGGCTTCATTTCGCTCTAGCCCTCAGTGTAAGTTGCGTATCTCTAGCTTGAGCGATCGTTGGCGACGACTCTCCATCTCTCGATATCGATGTCCATGTATATCGTCCTCATGTCACTTCTGCAGATGTCTTTGAAGCGATGATGAGGCCGCCCTCTTGCCAAGTGGCTAGTTCTCTGTACAGAAAGACATTCAGAAATCCCCCATCAGTTGACTGTTGCTTCCCGTGTTTCGCCGTCGCAGTGAGGTGACGCTGGAGTCCTCTCCAGGACGCAGGCCTGGGCAGGGTTTTATAATAGAGATCGACCATGCAGCACGTCTCCCCTATCCACGCCATTGTTCAAAGAAAAGGCAGAGGCCAATACAGCTTGGCACCGGCGTTGTTGCAAGAACTGCCAGAAGGAAGTTGATCATAACATCGGTCTGTCTTAGAGACTCTAGCTGCGGATTTGTCATCAGGGTTTACTTACAAAGCCTTTCCAAAGATTGGGTATGGCCGCAAGGCAGCGGAATTTTACATCCAGAGTTTCCCTTCTTTTAGATGCTAGTAGCTTTAGACAATTTCAGCATGTCACAATCTTAACATAAAATATGCAAACACGTCAGTGTTTTATGAGAGATCGGAAATTGTCCTTGCAGCATGTATCTCCTTTCCACGCCACCGGTGTTGTCCAAGGAAAAGGCAGAGGCCAATACAGCTTGACACCGGTGTCGTTGCAGGAATTGCCAGAAGGAAGTTGATCATAACATCGGATTGTCTTAGGGGCTCCAGCTCCGGATTTGTCCTCAGGGTTTACTCACAAAGCCTTTCCAAATTGAACTCTCTCTTACGAAGGGATGCCGTCTCTGGAAGCGCTGTGATGTTCACGCGAAGCCTAAGTAGTTCGTTGTTAATCCCTATTGTGGGTGTTGTTGATCTCGCGACCATTTGTCATGGTCCGTACGTTCCAACATCCAATTCTGAATGCCGCCTTTTTTCTTTGGTTCCTCGTGGTGAAGTGCTTGCAGACCGCGATTCAGGATACTTGTATCTCAAGGCCCCACGCATCCAGTGAAGAAAGCGGACTGTAGGAGGACAGCAACTTATTGGTTGGGGGATTTCTAGTTTGAGGTAGGTGATAGGTATCCAATGAAGCGCGATGATCTCTGCTCCATCGAAACCAACCCCTAGCGCATTGCTAATCGAGTGCGGACATAACAGGTAAAATTCCTGTGTTTTACCGTCGTGGTGAGGCGACGCTGGGTTGTTTCTTCTAGTGCAATGGCCTGGGCAGGGTTTTCAAAAGTTGCCAATGCAGCACATTTCACCTCGTCACGCCACCGATGTTATCCAAGGGAAATGCAGAGGCCAATACAGCTTGACACTGGCGTCAATACAGGAATTGCCAGAAGGAAGTTGATCATAACATCGGACTGTTTTAGGGACTTCAGCTGCGGATTTGTCCACAAGGTTTACTTACAAAGCCTTTCCAAAGATTGGGTATGGCCGCAAGGCAGCGGAATTTTACATTCAGAGTTTTCCTTCTCTTAAATGCTAGTAACTTTAGACAATTTCAGCATGTCACAATCTGAACAAAAGATATGCAAACAAATCAGGGTTTTATGAGAGATCAACAGTTGCCCAAAGCAGCACGTCTCCCCTCTCTACGTCATTAATGTTGTCCAAGAGAAAGGCAGAGGCCAATACAGCCTTGAAATTGATCAGACTCTCTTAGGGACTCCAGCTCCGGATTTGTCCTCAAGGTTTACTCCCGAAGCCTTTCACTGTTGTAATAATAACGAAGAGGAAAATGAAAACTGTAAAAAACACTTGACACCGTTTAATATGCGGTGCTTCTTGAGAAATTACTCAGTGGTTGAAAGAGTTGCGTACTTGCCTCAGTTTATGTGATATTAGCAAGAGACGTTAAACACTTCTATCATTCTTTCTTTCTTTCTTTATTTATTTCACTGAAACCAAGTAGAGTCCCTGATACATCTTTTGTCGTTCCATGCGAAGAATACGGAATAGTCCATTATTCATAAGGTAATAGCAGAAGGCGTTAACACACTTCTATACCTCTTTCTTTCTTTCTTTCTTTCACTGAAACCAAGTAGCGTCACTGATATGCGTTTTGTTTTTCCACGCAATCAAACAGAATAGTCCATTATTTATGTGCTATCAGAAGAAGACGTTAAAACTTCTACAATACCTTCTTTCTTTCACTGAAACCAGGTAGCGTTTCTGATATGTCTTTCATCTTTCTACGCGATCAAAATGGAACTGTTCATTATTTATCAGGTATTAGCAGGAGACATTAAAAACATCTATCTTTTCTTCTTCCTTTTTTTCATTCTTTCACTGAAACCAAGTGGCGTCTCTGATATGCCTTTGACTTTCCACGCAATCTAAACGGAATAGTCTATTGTTTATGAGGAATTGGCAGGACGCAATGGTCGTACGAACTAACGAAGAGAGGAAAAAACACAATTATAATAGGATAAGAATACAAGGACTTAGACTACACTTATTTTATTTACTATTTTTAATGGATGGCGTTAAATGATGTAAAAAACCGACAATCCAATAAACCGTAAATCGTTTAAACATTTAATATATTTATTTACTTAAAGATTTTTGTCACACATTTCTCTCCATAACAGAAAAAAAAAACTTCACGTAAAAATTATTTATTACGCATCATCGAACTGTTTTAGGTTAAATTACGTCATGCAATAAAATTCTTAAGAATGGATAAATTTAAAATAAATTGATGTCGATTTTTAAGCGATGTATGTCTAAGTTTAAAAATGGGACCAGCAACGAGCTAGATTTTAAATATTTATTGTAAATAATATTTATTATCTGATTGGTATGCGTTTTTATATAGCTCCCCTCCTGAGAGGATGTGGTATTATGGTGTATGGATGATTGATTGGTGACGGATGAGTTCTTATGATGAATGAGGAAATTGTAACGAGTGAATGGGTCGTGAATCTGATTAGCTAGGGAAAAGATAGTGAATACCAGCCTTCCCCCGTTCCCCCTTTTCGGCCTTGTGCCATACTTGTATGTATGTACAATAAATAAAGTTTTTTAAATATTCACTTCTATATATCGTGTTCTTTCAGGACATTGGAGATGATGGCTCTCCACAGTTTCCTACCCTTTATAACTCTTAATAAATTTGGTCTTTTTGTTATTGCTCTTAAACCCTGTCTAGGTACCACTGGGTATGGAAGAATTAGGAACAGAAACATTAATAATGAGTGGGAAGAGGAAAAAGTAATCAGGTG